AACGGCAGATGCTGATAAGGCCGAGATGGCACAACGCGCATGTGACCTTGCTCTTGGTTCTTCGCACTCGAGCGCGGGAAGTGGTCAAAGCCCTGCAAGACCAAAGCAACGGCGCTCAGGTCGAACAGGCCGGCCAGCAGGTGCAACGCCGGCGAGCGAATACCCCAGTCATTATACATCGTGCAAATGGATGGTCAACTCCACGTCAGTTGGGTCGATGGTTTGCCAGGCCGTGCCCACGGGCCCCACCGTTCTAGGGCGCGCGCGTAGTCGCGCAGCCCTTCGGCAATGCCGCTGACACTGGTGCCTCTCCGCGCAAGTCTTCGCGGACCGAGCGGGGCCCCTCTCCGGGCTTGGGCGCCCCGCTCGGGGGCGCGCCCCGGGATGGCCAGGGCGCAGAGAGCCGACTGTGAAATCCCAAATCGCCACTTCGGCCGCATGGCCGCGAAGGTTGAATGCACGTGCCAGGCGCTTGGACGTCGGCACCAGTGGCGCACGTGCAAGGAACCAGACGGATCGGCCGTTCGCATGGGCGCCCTCCTCCGGGGGGCGCCCTGCAGGTCGGAGGCTGGCGACAGCATATCGCGCTCTGGCGACCGCCGTGGCCGCCCGGTGAAGTCGGCGCCGCCCGCTGCCAGCGCCGCGCTGATGCAACTTCCCACGAGCTTCACTTGCGACTGGGCTTGCAGGAGCTGGAGATCCGCCGCCCGTCGGTGGAGCCCCTCGCACGCGACGCAGACTGCGATTTCCCCCGGGCACTCTTGATCTCACGGGCTGTCGAAGACGCGAGTCTCACCGCGCAAGAGTTCGGCTCTCTTGCGGCGGGCGCAGGAATATTGCTGAAACGCGGTCGCCACCGAACGCGGCGCCCAGAGATCGCGTCGCGTAGCGGCGCTGCCGCTTGGCCCATGCGCGCACTCGTAGTTTGACTCTGACGCCGTCACAAGACACGGACGCAATGCGAGGGTGGCCGCTGTCGCGCGCCACGGGTCTAATGCATGCTGCCCCCGAGCGGAAACCATCTAGCGATTGCCATTGAAGCCGCTCCTGACTTGGGCGACGTCGGGCGGGCACCCCGCGAGCAACGCTTGGTTGGGACAGCTGTCCGCGACAAAGTCATCGAAACACTTTTTAAACCCGTGAAGCGCAGTCCCCGCCAGCGGCGCCCGGAGGTCGCGCGCGTGCTCCGCCTGGAGAGCCGGCGCGATGCTGAAATCTCCAGTGGCGGCGCGTGGTGCCGCGCCCAAGCTCGTCGGGTGGGCCCGCGGCGCCCTCCGCAATTTTGCAGGGCGGCGGTGGCCCGGCGTTTCCCAGGCGCGCGTCCGCGCGGACATGGCAGAAAGAAATCGCTGGTCGGCGGGCACTTCCCCTTGCCCTATCCGCAGGCGAGGGCTCGACATGTAAAGGGAGGGCCCGGCGCTACCCCGCGCTGTGCATGGCCCTCGGGGCCTCGGCGAACAAGCGTCAGACGCCGCCGCCCGCCCAGACCGCCCAACCCAGCAGCTGGTCGAATGCCCCCTCGCTCCGTCGGCACGGACAAAGGGTCTGGAAAGCACCGCCGGCACTCCGCCACGAAGCCCCCCCGCGCTGGGAGAGTTCAATGCACGCGGGCTCGCGAGTTCCAGCGCCGACCCAGCATGGGTCCCCAAGTGACCGTCGCAAGCTTGACGATAGCCCCCGCGCAAGCTAGGGCGCGGTTTCGCTTGGCTTGGCGGGGCGGGGCCATCGGAGTCGGACTCGCTATCGCTGTCCGCGTGTGCGCCAAGGTTGCCAGACTGTGACGTCGGATCTGGTGGCTGCGAGTCTGGCGACTCCTCGCCGGGTAAAGACTCGCCTTTTTGCCGCTCTATCTCGACGCAAATGCCTGGTTGCGCGCGCGGAGGGCCGCGGCGCCGCGCGCGAAGGTGGACCGCGCTGGAGATGTCGGACCCCGCGGCCCGCTTGCGTTCCCCACCGCCACCGTCGTTCGCTCGCGCCCGAGCTCGCCAGACCGCGACGCGGTTGACGATGTTCCTCTGGCTGCTCCTGCTTAGTTGTTCTTCGCGAGACTCTCCAACGACAGACCGGTTCCAGGTCCGGGAAAACACCGTCAGGTAGGCGGGCCGCCTGCGCTGGGCAAGAACGTCGCCCGCGGCCCACCAACGCTCGATCCGCGCCCGCGCGCGGAGATTGCAGGCAACCGCGTCTCAATAGCAATTCTTTCCGCCAAAGAGCACCAAGAGCTGCGATGGCGAGTCTCGCCGCGCCATGCTCGGGGTGGGCGACGTCTTGGTAGCGCGGCGAGGCGCGGGCGCCTTGGCAGCGCGGTTTTTATGGTGCAAGGTCGGCCCCTAACGCTTGGAGTTGGCCTCTTCGTCGAGTCTCTGCGCGGAAGGTGGGTGGCGCCTGGCTTGCCTGGCCCCGGAACTGTCCCACGTCGTTGGCGGCGTCGGCCTCGCCCGTGAGCTTTTGGCGTGCATCCTCAACGCGACGCCCCAGGCCTCGCTGTTCATCCTCACTAGATGGCGCGTCGCGGTCTGCGTTCTGCGAGGCGATATCGAGGTCGAGCGAGACGACGAGCACGAGGCACGACTGGGCGGGTCGATCGCGCAAGCATTTCGTGCGAGCCCGACATGAAGCCGGAGATCTGCGGCCCCCCAATCAAGATCTTGCCCGAACGCGCGCAGGCTCGTTCGCCGGGGCGCCCCGCCGATCATCTTGCCCGCCCACGGGGGCGAGGGTGCGCGCAGAGGGCGCGGAGACGCTCGTGTCGCACTGGGCACCCAAACAGATGGCGCACGGTGCGCCCCTGACTCTCTCTGCCACGTTCCAGAACAGGTTGTAGAGGGCCGCGTTGTCAAACCCGAACACGCAACGTAGATGCCACCAACAACAATAATCCTCTTGCCCCGCGCGTTCCGTCTGGCGGTGGTGGCCAAAACACAAGGGAAGAAGGCTTCCGTCTCTCCCGCGGTCGCGAGGAGGGCAGTGACGGATGGGCTATCTTGCGCAAGTTGTGCGAAGGCTCTTTGGGACGAGATACATGCGCAACCGCGCTTGGTAGCTGCGGAACGCATCCCGCGGTCAACGCCTCCCGTGGCCCTTGCGGTTCACGTTGTCATCGGCAAGGCTACGGCCCCAGTCACGCCGCCAGGCTACGTTCACTGGTGAGCGGGGCCTTTGTCGAAAGCGTGGATACGAACGGCAGGGTGGCAATTTCTTCGGGGTACGGGCGGCCGCCCCGTAGTGTTCTGATGGCGTTGGCACTGACAAGGTGGGCCATCTGCGGGGCGTCTGTCCGTGGAGACAGGATCACCCCTGGCCTTGCAGCTCCTTTGGGTCCGTCCATTCCCACCGAAAACCATAGCCGCCTCACGTTTCGAATACATGAAGAAGGGTGGGACTGAGCGGCGGTGGCAAGGGCACGGAGGCTGCAGCCGTGACTGCGGTCGCAGACGAGGCAACCACCGCAATCGTTGCTGCCATTGGCAGCAACACGGGCTCTCATATAGCGGCGCACAGACACAGCGTCGCCTGCGCTCCGTTCCGCACATGCCGCAGCTCGTTCGGAGGACCCCGCGTCCTTCTCGAAGCCCATGTCTCTGAGCTAGGGCGCGCGGCTGTCGAGCCCGTGGTCGTTGTCAACGTTGTCGTCGTTCAAGATGCCCTGATGGGAAGCGCGCGGGCGGCGGGCCAGCCTTGGGTGCCACGTAGTCGCCTGCTGGGGGGGGCTTTGTCACCATTGCAGGCCATTTGCTTTGACGAGCAATCAGAACTGAAGCTATTTGTCGGTTGCCCATTTGTTCTACCTCTGATGCCCAGCGGTTCCAGCTTACTTGCGCTTGCTGGTGTTGCTTTGAAAGGCATGCCTTTTGCGTGAAATTGCAGTTGCTCCCTACTGGCCCCACAGATCGATTTGGGTTGGGGGCAATGGCGCTCCTTGGTGCGCCTGCCGAAGACGTCGGCGAAGGCGAAACGGAGGAGGACGCGCACGCCTGCGCTTCATGGCGCCTTGGTTCGGGTGGCCTTTTTTGGTGTCTGCGTGCTGTCGAATTGGTCACTGCTGTTTTTGGATTCGCGGGCAAAGCGGACGACTATGGCCGGGCAGTGCAGAGCGTCGTCTCACGTGTAGGTGAGCTTGCGGTGCCCGTGGCCATGTCTGGCGGTGTCCTGGAGTGAGTTGAACCCGATATTTGGCCGCCTCTTCCTCGCCTGGTGGCGGATGGGTGGGCTGCTTCGGTGTAACCTTCGCTCGGCTGGCCGGTGCTGGGACCTGTTCGCGACCTTGGGCGGCACGCAGTTTGGCTCAGTGATCGCGACGCAGTTCGACGTCGCGGGACACTCTGGGACCATAGCACGGGTGCAGCGAGGGTTAGCGCCACTTGGGCAAATCTTGTCTGTGGTAAGGCGTAAGGCGTGGCGCCTCTGCGGGCAACTTCGGCGGAATAGGGAGGGAAAGAGCAGGGGAGGGATGAGGGGAGGAGGGAAGGGTGAGGGATGGGGGAGGGAGGTGTGTGAGGAGGGAGGGGGAAAGCGAAGGGAGAGCGAAACGAATCCTTCTCTTCTCGTCGGGGACCTGCTCGTCGTCCTCCTGATTTTGTTCTCCTCCTCCTCCTCCTCCGCCTCATCAACATCAGTATCATCATCAGCATCATCATCCTCATCATCATCCTCATCCTCAGCATCCTTATCCTCAGCATCCTCATCCCATCATCATAATAATCAGCATCATCATCATCAGCATCATCATCATGATCGTCGCTCTCTTCCCCATCCAGGTCCTCATCAATATCAAGACTATCTTCATCGTCCTTCGAATCCTTCTTCTCGCCTCCTGATCCTGCTCCCACACCTGCTTCGCTTCTTCTGCCTCTCTCCTGGCGTCTCGTACTTCTGCTACTGTCACTTGTTCCGCCTCCTGTCCTTATCACCTTGCATGGCCGAGGAAGGGCAACGTTAAGGAAGGAGAGGAAGCCAAAGCAGGGAGAGTGGAGGAGGGGCAACTTTAGCGGCTGGCAGTCCTCCGCACGGCGCGGCTGGCTGGGCCCGAGCTGGGAGCTAAACAGGAAGGCGTGGCCTTGCAGACGAACGCTGCCGCTGCTGCTGCTGCTGCTGATGTTCGTCCTCCTCATTCTCGTCCTCCTCCTCCTCATCCCTCCTCCTCCTCCTAATTCATCCTGAAATTTCCTCCTCAATTCCCACTCCCGTCACCTCACCTCATCCTCGTCCTCGTCCTCGTCGTCGCCGTCCTCCTCCTTCTCCTGACTCTTCCTGCTCCTTACTCCGCATATTCCTCCCCCTCCCTTCGCCTCCTTCCCTCGATCCCTCCCCCCTCCTCCTCCTCCTCTACCCCTGCGCCCGCACCTCCCACCACCCCGGCCTTTCCTCCCCAGTCCCTCCATCCCTCTCTCGTCACCGCCATCGTGTCCGCCCTCGCCTTCCTGGCCCTCTGGGTCCATGTCGCCCTCGTCGCGTCCTTGGGGTGTTCGTCGGCCTGATCTTCCCCCCTTCCCCACCTGAACCCACTGCTCCCCCTCACCCTTCTCACAATCAACGCCCTTCTCCAATCTTGCCTTCCGCAACATCCGTCCCACCCCGTCCTCTGCCTCCTCCTCCTCCTCCTCCTCCTCTTCCTCCTCCTCCTCCTCCTCTTCCTCCCCCTATGCATCCTCCTCCTCGTCCTCGTCCTCCTCCTCCTCCTCCTCCTCCTCCTTTCCTCCCCCCCTGCACCATATCCCACCAACACCTCTACCACCCGCCCCGTTTTCCTCCTCCTCCACCGCACCTCCCCGTTACCATTCCAGCGACTCCTCCTCCTCCTTCTCCTCCTCCGCCTCCTTATCCTCCTTCTCCTCCCCCACGTCACCATCGAAGGAGCGTCTTCTGTGCAACATCCCCCCACCAAATGGAGCCACCCCCCCTCCGAAAGTCAAGGGGGGGTGCAACCCTCTATCGTTGGCAGTGCCGTCGCTAACTGGCGAGGAGCGCGTGGGTCGGACGGGCTTGCGGGACAAGACATCAACACCGTCGTTGTCGAGTCGTTCGGGCGGACGGGCGGGACTTGTCGTCGTCATCGTGGGCGAATCGACCGCGACGCGATCGTAAAAGTGGTCCCCCAGAACTATGGGCGACCACTTTTACGATCCGCACTCACGCTCTGGCAAGTCGCCCACCTCAAAAGCACGAGGACCTCCACCAGGCAAAGCAGACATAGCATCTAGGGGTACCACCCCCCCCGAATGCACACGAACACCCAACAAGCACAAAGAACGCCAAGGTGCCCTCCCCGAGCCGACCGTGCCCGCCGGGCACGCCGCCGAATTCGGTTTTTGGGTCATAACTAGGCTCTCCGGTGACCGTTCGGGACGATCCGGGCACCCCCAGAACGCTCTCGGCAATGCCCAGCCGCTGGAACGCATCCCGAGGGCGGCAGGCCGCCAGGAGTAACTGGGAAAGCGCCCCAAAAACGCCAACCCGAAACGAAGCCGATCGACGCGTGTTGCCTTTTGGCGCCACCCTCCCCCTCCTCCTCCTCCTCCTCCTCCACCTCCTCCTCCTGTGGGACCACGCTCCGACAAAAAATCACGACGTCGAGGCCTTCGGACCTTGCCTCGCCGAGAGGGGGTATCCAGTTCCGACGGGCCCGGCCCACCGAGGTGCCGCCCCAGGTCCGCGGCCTGCCGCCTGGGGCGGAGCGGGGGGCGCAGAGGGGGCCTCCAGGGAGGGAGGGGAGCAGGAGGGGCAGGAGGAGGAGGAGGAGGAGGAGGAGGAGGAGGAGGAGGAGGGGGAGGAGGGAAGAAGGGTGGCCGAGGACACAGGGATGAGGAGGGAGGGAGGAAAAAAGGAGGCAGGAAGGATGAGGGAGGGGAGGGGCCTCGGAGGAGGGAGGGAGGCGCGCAACCAATCTCCCAACTAGTCCACCAGCGCAAGAGGTGGGGGAGGGAAAAAGAGAGGCTCATGGCATCATCAAAAGCATAAGTGCGGGAGTGGGAGACGGGCCAGAAAGGCGAGGCAGGAGGGGCGGAAAGGGGAGGCGAGGCTTGTGGCTTGGACCGTAAGAAGAACAAGCCGCACATCGCAATTGAAACTCCAAAACCTTTTTAAGTATAACACGTCGGAGGGGAACTGAAACAAATAATCTCAACAAATGAGACGTTCTGTCCCACAACTGTGTAAACTTTCATACGCAATCACACCAATCCGTGACTCACTTCAGAATTCCATGTGTGAGCTGCATGTGCGCAGATCCGCTGCCATGCACCTGGGCCAAGAGTGGGCCTGTCCTCAGGTCCTTTGCCTAATCCCTTAAGCCTCGGCGGTGGACAAACCTCCATTTAGTAAACCTCCCCTTAGCGAAAACGACCTATAAGGCCGAACTCCACAAACCCGCACCCGCAAAAAGGACGGCCGCGACGCCCTCTCGCGAGCCGACAACGGCCAACTCCTTCATCGACGTGTCAGGGTATGAGGTCTGTCCACCTCCGAACGCCTCGGTCCTCGTTCCTGAATCAAGGGGCCCAAGGACACACAAATAAATACACACATAAAATGATTCCCCGGGTGTTTGTGTTCCCGCCCAACTCCCTTATTTTCCTATATTGTCCTGGGGATCGACGATTCATTGTGTCTGTGTGTTTTTCCCCCCCTGACTGGAGAGTCCCTCCAAGGGGCCCTGCAGACCCAGAATTCCCTCTTCCCACCTTGGGCACGGCGCGTGCCCCCCCCCCCCATGGGGCTTCCAGCGGCCTGTTGGCGCGACTGGTTCGGGCCCTTGGAGATCCTCGATGACGGGGCCCCAGGACACACAGATAAATACACGCAAATACATATTTTCCCCCTATGTTCCAATAGTTTTGGATGTTCTGCCTTCCCCCCCCCACTTCCCATATTTTCCCATATTTTCGGGGGAATCGACGATTCATTGTGTCTGTGTGCTGTTTGCCCCTCCTGACTCAAGACGGGCCAAGAGGGCACCAAGAGCCCCAAGACAATCCGGGAGGGCCCCGAGTGGCTGTAAGATCGCATCAAGACGCCCAAGACGGCGTCCAGACGGCTAGAGAGCTCTCCAAGGCTCTCCGAGCTGCCTCCAAGCCTGCTCCCAGCAGAGCACCAAGAGGCAAGATCCAGTGATGTTTCTATACAATGCTTGAACATGTTTTGGGTTCTCGCTTTTTTCGGCTTCCCGACACACCAAAACGGACTGGGATGCCCCCATGATCGCCTCAAGACCGTTCGCAGTCAGGCAGCACATGTGTGCGTCCACAGAGTGGCACCTGCGTATCACTTCCCCCTCTTTTGCTGACTCCCCAATCAATGCTTGCACTGAAGGGGTCTTAGCGGATTTTGAAAATTTGTCGAAAATGCCGGGCCGATTTCGGTAGGCGGCCGGGTTCCCGGGTTCCTGGTTCCGAATTCCCGTGTCACCAATTGCTGGTTCCGGACCGGTTTCGGTGGGCGGCGGGGTTCCCGGGTTTCCGGGATCTCGGGTTCTTGGTAGATCTTCTTATCGATCGGCCTCACAATCGATCTCACTACCAACCTCTTTATTGACCTCACAATCGATCCCACTATAGACCGCACGAGCGATCTCACGATCGATCTCACTATCGATCTCATCGAATCGATTTCACGAACGGTCTCACGACCGACCTTACTATCGTCCTTACTATCGATCGCACGATCGGTCGCACTATCGATCTTACAATCGATCCCAATATACATCCCACGAATTCTCAAACCATCCACTGATTGGGCTTTCTGTGGTTCAATGGTACTCCTGTCCTCTTGCCTTTTATCTCAAGTTATAGTCATGTTCCTCCTTTTCTTGTTTTCCTGCCTGGTGATCATATGATTCGCATCTGCCCGTTGCAGACGCCGAGCGTCGTTGCCTCGGGGGCTATCTTGAACTGCCTCGACGCACTCCAGAACGCCGGTCTGGCCATGTTTGGGGACAATGGGGGTGGCCTCTGGGGCTCTGATGTGACAAACGAGCGTTTCAGATCATCCAGCAATCTGACAAGTTGACTCATGGCTCAGCGAATGAGTATAGCCCACGACATCAAATTCAAATACTAGACTAGGGAAAAAAACAGTGGATGGTTTGCAAATTAGTGATATGGATATTGAGATCGACAGTGAAATCGATCGTGAGATCGACAGTGGGATCGATAGTGAGGACGATAGTAAGGTCGATCGTGAGAGCGATAGTGAAGTCGATTCAATGAGATCAATAGTGAGATCGATCGTGAGATCGCTCGTGCGATCTATAGTGAGATTGATTGTGAGATAGATAGTAGTGAGATCGATCGTGAAGTCGATAGTTAGATCGATATAGAGGTGGGTAGTGAGATGGATGGTGACACCGATCGATAAGGAGATCGGCCAAGAAAACCAGAAACCCAGAAACCTGGGAGCCCCGAGGGCTACCAAAATCGGTCCGGACCAAGCAACCGGGAACACGGGAACTCGAAACCGGGAGCCCGGGAACCCCGCCGCCCACCGAAATCGGCCTGGCACTTTCGCCAAATTTTCAAAATCCGCTAAGACCCCTTCAGTATAAGCACTGATTGGGAAATCATGTTTACACGCGCTGTCTCACACCATTCACCGCCACGACTACTCCATGGATCCTGGCTCAAGCTTCTGCTCAAGGGTGTACAAGTCTTCCCAAGGCAACAACAGCGTGCTCAGGGTGGAACGAGAGCGGCGCGGCATGATACAACACCTGAAACTAACATAGAATACCAGCTCTTCCGATGCCTTTTTGTCCTGTGGCCCACATCCAATAACACTTATGTTCGCAATACCGTTCACTTCAGAGACAGCAAAGCACATTAGCGATGCTCGGCTGTTAAGAGTGTAAGTGCATGCGTGCCGCAAAGTGCTGTGCCAGGGGTGCATGTGGAGCATGAGCCGAAGCAACTTCCAAAACCAAAACTGCGTTCCACTCCGACACCAAACGGACCCAGATCGATGACACTCTGCGTATCAGCGCCGTTGGACAGAACAGGGCGCATCACAGCAGTGACGCCATGCATAAGGGGCAAATTTCCGTGCAAAACTTCCACACGTTTCCTTGCCGATACTGGGCACTCGTGTAACCCAAGCTAACTCATGCGAAAGAGCCTGGAACGGTCCGGCCGAACAACGCTGGAGGTGGGCAGTTGTTCTGATCAAGGGCGGTAACAAATAGTCCGAGGACTTCCTTCGATGGAATGGGCCAACGTGCTCACCGCAGAGCCTCCATCGCTTGCTCTCCCGATAACGAGATCACATTGAGCGCCGGAAATGCTCGGTTACGGCTTCAGTGCCCGCATGCCGTGCAGCTTGATCGAATGTGCTCTGGAACGGATCCTCCTCCTGATCCATCTCCTCCTTCTTCTCTTCCTCCCCCACCCCCTCCTCCGCCGCCTCCTCCTCCTCCTCCTCCACCTCCTCCTCGTCCTCCTCCTCGTCCTCGTCCTCGTCCTCCTCCTCCTCCTCCCGCCGTGGCGATCAGGGCCCCCTTAGGAACCCCGGGAAGGGCGAGAGCCGCAGGAGAAGAAGGACTCGGCATTAGCGGCAGCCTCCCACACAGAGAGCTCACCTCCCGCACACAAAAAAGCACTCGCAAAGAGATGTGCGTCGCCGCGGAGCGATTCCCGGAGGCCCTGGGGGCCCGAAACAGGCCGCAACACGACATCGGCATCGGGATGCATTCTCCTCTGGCCTCTTGCCCCAATCTGGAGGCCTTCCGAGTAGGGTCCGAGCAGACGGGGTCGGTGGACGGTAGATCACCCCGCATCGCTTGTGCATCGCCGATGCATCGGCGATGCGTCGGCGATGCACTGGCCACGTCGGCGATGCCTCGGAGACGCACCGGCGACGTCGGCGATGTATCGGCGCCCCCGGCGTGGAGAAAATCGGGCTATGCATCGAGCCGCATCGCCGATGCATCGGCGATGCAACGCGATCCTCTGACCCCATCCACCACTATCCGAATGTCAGAGGCCCCGACGATCAGACAAAACGGACCCGCAGAGTCAGCGCAAAAAAGGCTGACACGACTACGCTATGAGTAAATCATGACATGATGGTGACGACGGTTCCACACTTTCTGAGAAAATCTGTCTTTTTACAACGGCGCCATCGACGGTACAGCCTGGACGACGTTTAACAAGAGCTTCTGTACGATCCAGATCTGGGAGGCCCCGACACTTCGGACGTTGCGAAAGGTGCCCATGGCGCAAGGTGTCCCCCAGCTTTTCGCTCCACTCTGGTGCCCCTGATGCCCTCTGGGCATCGTGAGAGGTGCCCTGGAGGCCGTCTGGGCCACCCAAAGAATCCTGGGGGCACCATGGGCCAGGAGCACTTCTAGCAACACCCGGCAATCGAAGAAGGCAAAACGACACCAACATAAACTCCAAGCGCTCCGCGCGGAGCGCCAAATGCCTCCTTCCTCGAACCCCCCTCGCCCCCCCTCGCGGAGCGCCCGGCCTCTTCTCGAAGGCGCGGAGCAGCTCCAGCTCCCCGCGCCCCTCGCGCTGCCGCGCGCCCAGCGCCTGCGAGGCGGGGCGTCCCGCGGCCTCGGCCTCCTCGGGGGGGGGTCCGCGGCGGCGGCGGCGGCAGCGGCGGAGTACGCGCCTCCTCGGGCGAGGCCAGCGGCGGCGGGGGCCGACGGCGGCGGGGGGGGCCTCCTCCTCCTCCTCCTCATCCTCCTCCTCCACCTCCTCCCCCTCCTCCTGCGACGGCGCTTCAGGGGGGAGGGGGCTGACGACTACGACGGCGACGAGGACCGGGGGGGGGAGGGAGGGCGACGGCGACGAGAACGGCGGCGATCCTGCTGCCCCCGCTGCCGTTCCCCTTTTCCGTGTTCCCTGTTCTCCCTCCGCCGCCTCCCCCACCTCGTCCTCGTCCTCGTCTGAGTTCTCAATCTTCCGCGAAGGTGGGGATGAGGACGGGGGGGGGGGATGGAGGAGGAAGGAGGAGGAGGAGTGCGAGGTAGGAGAGAAAGAAGGGGAAATGTATGTGAGAGGAGGAACGGCAAGGGGAATATGAGAAGGAGAGGAGAAGGAGGTTGCGGGGGAGAAGAAGAGGGAGAACCGGAGGGAGAGGGAGAGGGAGAGCGGGAGGGAGAGGTGATGGTTGAGAAGGATGGGAAGAATCATCTCCTCGTCCCCCTCGCCGTCCACCTCCTCATGCCTACTCACCCCCGATTACCATTCCCCACATTACGTGCATCTGCTCCCCACACATTACTGATCATGGTTACCATTATCGTCATCAGCGTTTGCGTCTCGCCGTCAGGCCTCCTGATGCTGGTCCGTGCCCTTTTCATCATTTGAAAGAAAGAAAATCGGGAGGAGGGCATGAACGAATAATGGCAAATGCAGTGCGCACGTGACCCTGGTAAACCACCACTATCGCAGGAACGTGTGTCATTCAATCGCACACCTATCACGTTGCGTGCATAACCAACGCAATCGAATCGAACCCCTTTCGTGGAAGAGAGGGGGGTGCCCCACAGGGGGTGTATTATGAACCCGACCGGTACAACCCTCAGGCGTCAACAGACATCATCGAATCGAGACAGGAGCCCCCCTCTGAAGTCCCTCAGAGTCCTCCTCAAAAAGACGCTGCACTAGGCTCTGGATGGGGTGATGGTTGGCAGGGCTTCGCAAGGTAATTCCCAGCCGTTGGGTGGCGATCACGGCGATTGATATTTAGACCCCCCCCCTTGGAGACTAAATATATGATCGGCTACCTTAATGACGGACTGGGGTTCCACCAGCAACGGAATTAATTATTCCTCAACGGCACGCGCCGCACACAACAACGACGACGACAACGACGACGACGACGACGACTACGAGGAGGTCGCGACCAGGAGGATGATGACGAGGAGCAGGAGCAGGAGGAGGGGGGGGGGAAGAAAAGTTTGCCTGATGATTGACCAAATCGCTTGATGAGAGACAACCGCCTTTGCAACACTGAATACAGTATTATCGAAGCAATGCAACAAAGTACAAGCAAGTGAATGGAATATGGAGAATGCGACAGCGAATACAACTTGTCGAAACACTGTAACAAGGGCACAAGCATCTTTGAATTATGTGCCCACCCCCACGGGCCGAGTGCACCCATTATGGTGGGGTGTCTCTTGCCCGGGGACGCGCCTGCCTTAAGGGCTGCAGGCGCCCGTGGTCCGTTCCGTCTCCAGCGTGACGCGGGGCAGGCCGACGTTGACACGAACGACACCTTTTGTTTCCGACGTAAGGAAAACACCACGTGTAAAGCGCTCTGTGAGCTTCCTCTTGACACTGCTTCTGGCTTCAAGCACGGTAGCTGTATTTGCCATGAGATGTCGAGCCAGGCTACTAAACCCTGACTATCTGGCCTTCACAGAAGGGAGGAAATGACTGCCCCCTCTTTCGTGACATCGTCGGCACCTGGCGGCGTGGCCGCAGGTGCCCCCTTTTTCCTTGAATGTCCGACCCCCCGCCCCCGTGACCAGAGCAACGACTGGAGCACAGGACGGCGGAGCCGACTTCGTATCCCAGTTCTCGGGCACCACAATGAGAGCGCACGTGCGAAGCCCCCTCTTGGTAAAGCGACCGCTGCCACTACTCTGGCGGATGGGAAAAATGCTGCACCGCCGAAGACGAGCTCTTGGAGAGACTTTCGGCTGATAACCAAAAGTTTGACTGATGGTTGACCAAATCGCTTGATGAGAGACAACCGCCTTTGCAACACTGAATACAATATTATCGAAACAATGCAACAAAGTACAAGCAAGTGAATGGAATCTGGAGAGTGCGACAGCGAATACAACTTGTCGAAACACTGTAGCAAGGGCACAAGCATCTTTGAATTATGTGCCCACCCCCACGGGCCGAGTGCACCCATTATGGTGGGGTGTCTCTTGCCCGGGGACGCGCCTGCCTTAAGGGCTGCAGGCACCCGTGGTCCGTTCCGTCTCCAGCGTGACGCGGGGCAGGCCGACGTTGACACGAACGACACCTTTGTTTCCGACGTAGGGAAAACAACGCGTGTAAAACGCTCTGAAAGCTTCCTTTTGACACTGTGTCTGGTTTCAAGCACGGTAACTGTATTTGCCAGAAGATGTCGAGCCAGGCGACTAACCCTGACGATCTGCCTTCACAGAAGGGAGGAAAACACTGGAGGGGGAAGAGGATGATGAGGAGGAGCAGGGGGAAGAGGAGGAGAAGCAGCAGGAGGAACATGAGGGGCGAGTTGATCTCGCCGAGAGAAACACGGAGGGCAATAACTAAAGACCTCCCTCGATTACCACCCAAGACGACTCCACTGTTGTCCTGGGTGCCTTTAGCCACACCGTGACTACTCTCTATGCAGGCGCTGCGAATTAATGAGAACAAGTGTCATCTGCTACGCTGTACCGTAGAACTCCGACGGATGTCCAAATATCGAACCAACTGCGCCCGATAAGGCCATGGCAACGAATGCGAGTGCATCAACGAGGCGGCGAATTATCATCTCGCTCGCATAGATAGGGGAAACGTGCCGACGGCCGTCGCGCAGGAACACCACTTCGGAAAGCCGAGCTCAAGCAGAGCACGAAAACCGCGCGCATTGCACCATCGGATTGCAGGATTGCTGGATCTGGCGTTCCATACGCCGGAGTCTTTGTGAGACCAGCGGGGCGTACGTCCGCCGGTCGAAGCCTACATCAGTGGTGGGAGTCACAAGAGAATTGGCAGTGTCCCAATGTCTTAAAACTGGACCCCCCGGCACAGACGTCGGGCGGCAATCCATCATTGATCAGTTCGAAAATAATACGGCAGGTGATCCCCCCGAACTCTATTGGGAGAACAGGCGCGTTCACAGGAACGTAACCGCATGCCGCATGCCACTTCAGCTTATCTATAGCCCACCACCGAGGCGAGGCCGCTGAAGACAAGATGGGCTTCAACAGCAGGTGGTTCGACTCCACGATTGTCCAGGCAGCTGTCCACGCTGTGATAAAGCATGCGCCTGAGCTTGTTGACGCTGGCAAGGATACCTGCGTGGGCGATTGGTGCGCGTGGGCCAGGGTGGGGTAGCTGCTGCTGCGCACATACGTCACTTCAAGTTTGTTGAAATGTCCACCGCGCAACTCAACTATTCACACGTGTCCGTCTCGCCTCACACGCCCTTTAGATTCTACCCCCGTGTCTCTAGCGAACTTTTGATCGACTTCCACGTGCACGGTGCCCTCTACTGGGAAGCCGCTGTTCGACGTGTGTCACATTCCCAAGAAATAGCTTATTGCGCCGAACCCCTGACAATGCCAGATGAGATGGCCCACCATGCGATGGAATCGGTCGTTCTCGCCACGCCTCGTTGGAGATATTTCGTCGTACCGTGGTGTGAACAGGAACGCGACCGTGCTCGGAACCGAAGAAACCATTGCGTACCATGTGGGAACAACGGAAACTGAATTACGTAACCACTTGGTTGCCACCGCAAGCGGAGAGCCTTACACAGCAGAGTCCAAAAGCGTAAACCAACAAGGTAGTAGATGTGTGTGGGGGGAGGGATAATAGGTGTCAAGGCCCGCAATAAAACAGACTAGAAGCCACCAGAGCGGTTGTAGAGCTCGAGTTCGCGGTGCAACAAATTCCAGCAATGCCTCCCACATTATGTTTCCCGTTTCCCTTTGGGTAGCGAAGGTTCCCGACTGAACACGGGCCTTGAGGATAGAACATCGCACCATGAAAACACTAGAATTGGACTTGAACATGCTCCGTGGCAATATTTAGGCATATCAAGCTTCCAGCCGACCTGGGACAGCTGCCCCCCCCGGACGGTAGAGAACGCATGTTTGTACTCGTCGTCTTCGTTTGCCAAGTAGATGAATCAACTTCTTTTGGCCGCCCTGTCGAATTAGATGCTGCGACCGTGCCGCGTCTGAGCAACCTTGGCGACCAACTCCGAACCACAGTTCACGTCGAGCAGCACTGTGGATGATCGCCAGACACCTTCTCAGACTACGGTGGAAGTGATAAACATTTGAGCTGTTGGATGGGCATCCCGCGGGGTATCGAACAAAGGCAACGCTCGCTCGCGTGTTGCCCATATGATCCATGATTGGTTGATTGCTGGCGTCCATCACGGCCATTTGCATCGCGATTGCTGGTGGCCACCACGCCATTTGCGTCGCGGCCGTTGTTGTCGACAGTAGAGTTGATGGTGATGATAACTACGACCATAATGATCAACGATGCCATGATTATGTGACGCAATTGGTCATCCCATGATCATTGGCCATGAGCATCATCACGACCATGATGATGGGCCCCCCCAAATCCCCACATATTCTTAGCCAAGGGCCACTGCCGTGAAGGGCGGGATAATCCGATGGAGTTGGATCCGGATAACTCAAATACCGTCCAAAAAAAAACATGGTGGGATCACGTCCCGCACCCGCCCGCGTCAATCCCCGTGCCGCAGTCGATCAAGTCCTGGAGCAGCGCAAGGCCGAGTCGTATGTTCATGGATTTCTTCCCCTGAAGTAGTGCTGCTTATGTATGCTGCGCCCTCGATGTCGCAGCCCGCCTCCTGACAACATACCCACACATGCCTTGCTAACTGGACGAGCTGTCGTCGCTTGACCACACGCTCAGCTGCACGATCAGAGTGTGCGACTGCCAGAGCGCAAGTGCGGCAAGAGCCCTCCCTGCCGGCAAATCCTGCCAAGCCCTGCCGGCGGAGCAGAGCTTTCCTTCTCGGCTGCCCGCGCTTACGCACTCCCTCTCCCCCACGACTCCTCCCCTTCCTCACCCTTCTTTTCTCTCCCTGCTCCTCTCATCCCCCGTGCCCTCCATTCTTAGGTGAACAACAAGTGACATAACCATAAAAACTCGGAGGTCCGCGCGGATTTCTCGGATCGGCGCTGGACCCCCCTCCCTGGCGCGCGGACCGCGCCGGGGGCGGCGCCCGAGGCGCCGCCGGGGGGCCCCAGCGCCGATCCGAGAAATCCGCGCGGGCCTCCGAGTTTTTATGCTTATGCCACTTCTTGTTCCCCAACTGGCAATCGCTCGGACGTCCATTCCCTGTGTTTTGTTTGGTTTCGTGCGTGGTTCTTTCGCCAAATGATCAAGGATGCTCTTCGATGGTCCTCGCCAAAAGAAAAATGCACACGTCCGAGCGATGCCAAGCCAAATTCTCTCCCCCCCCCCGCTCTCCGTTCCCCTGGCTCCGCCCGGAGAGAAGCTCGGGAACCGAGCGCGAAGGCGCGCGCCTGCGCTCGCGGGACACCCCTTTTTGTTCCCCGGGTGCGGCGGGGAGGCGGACGGGGGCCCCTCGCGGCGCCCGCTAACCGGAGTGCGAAGGATAGGGGGCCACATGCGAGCCCTGCAGTCGGGGCGTTGACCTAAGGAGCCTTAAATAAGGAGCGAGGCCCCTTGATCCCAAAAGTGAAGCTTGGATCTCCCATCGAACATCTCAGGAAAACCCAAGCCAAACTGTAAAACAATCAAGGAACACCGAGCCCCTCCCCAACGAGAAGGGTTCCTTCTTCAGCGCCCTGACTGTACCCCACCCTCCCCCTCCGAGATCGTGGGGGGGGGGGTACAGGTGGGGTTCGCATGTGGCCCCCTGGAGGATCAGGTCGGGCGTGTCCCCCTCCAGGCGGCTTTCGGGAGAAGCGTGCAAAAAGGTCACAGGATGATCCAAAAGCAGTCGAGAATCACTCCAAAAACCGTCCCCGGACTACTTTTTGACCGTCTTTGCATTGTCCCCCCGTGGAGGGACACTTTGGACGCCCGAAATGGATACCGACAGAATGGGTACAATGCCCAACAGAAAATGTTGTCCCAAACCAACAGCGGCCGCTGTTGGGCAGGCGGCCTCCTGTCTCGAATGGACACAGGCCGCGGCGGCGTGGGCAGCGAGCCCTGTTCAAAATGAACAAGATCCGCTCTTGGGCAATGTACCCATTCTTTCAGTACCCATTTCGTGCGTGCAGAGACACGGCCGACCGCATGCGAGGACAAGCAGGCGGCCCACGGACGCCCCTCCTCTCCGCAGCCTCCGCTTCCGCGGCCAGAGCCTCGTCCACGCACTCGCCCGCACGGGGAGCCGGTGCCTCCCCCCCCCCCCCCGGGAGCCCGGGCGGCAGCAGGCATGGATGACTGCCTACCAGACCACCCCAACCCGACCCGAAGACACGAATGTGACCCCGATTTCGGGTTGGGGGGGTACGGATTCCATGTGTTCTTTCAACGTTCCCCGACCCCCCCCTACCACCGGAAATGGAGGGCAAATCGAGGGCTTCGGGTTGGGTTGGGATGGTTTGGCGGGTGGTGAGGACTGGAGAGGCTCGAGGCAATGTCGGCAGTTCACGGTCGGGGCCCCAAGGGATGGGCCCCGCAGGATTTGGACTCACAATCGGCCTCGATCGGACAGGACACGCGAGAGGACACGAGACCCTTCCGAGGGCCACGTCGCCACAGGAGTGCAAGAAGGCACGTGTCGCGAGGCACAGGACACAAAGGTAATCCCTTGAGCTGGCAGGGTCGGCCTACTGATCCAGGCCGACTGTGACAGGCGAAGAACGCTACAAGACAAACTTCTCTGCGATTCGGGACGCCTGTCCCAGGACGGCTGGAAAATTTATACCCTTGCGGTGGCACGTCAAAGCATCAACTTTCCAGCCGCACTGGGGCAACACTCCCGGCGACGGAATACATTATCTTATACCGTTCTTCGCCCGCCTATGGACGCCCGATATGGGTACGGAACAAGTGGGTACAATACCAAACAACAAATGTTGTCCAAGACCGACAGCGGCCGCTGTTGGGCAGGCGGCCTTCTGTCTCGAAAGGACAAGGCCCACGGCGGCACCGACAGCAAATCCTTTTCAACATGAATAAGGACTGCTGTTGGCCTCCGTACCCGTTCTATCCGTATCCAGGTCGATCGTACCGAGAGGATAGGAACGGACCTCATATTGAGCCTACGTTGCTCGTGGTATCTGGTCGTCAGGGCCCCATCCTTCAGGGCTCTGGTATGAACCACCGATGCCAACATACACCACGTCGTCCAGTCGGCCAACCATCTCGATGTATATGAAGGGGAACTGGGACACACAAATAAATATACACTAATAACAAGATTCCCCATATTTTTCAAAATTTTCTGGGTTTTTGTCTTCTCCCCCACTTCCCATATTTTCGCATATTTTCTGGGGGATCGACGATTCATTGTGCCCGTGTGCTTTTTCCCCTCCTGAGTATAGACGCCTTAGCTTCCCCAGGGGTGCGGGGGGCGCCGCAGCGCAAGACTACACACCAAATTCAGCCGCCGAACTCCTTTTGGCTCCCTGGCCGGCCAAACGCAGCGGTGTGCACATCGAGCCCCATCCCCAAGACATGCAATTCCCTGATCCCAAAACGGGATCCCGGACGTCCCGACTTTCTCCCAGGGTCTGGTGTTTCATCCTGGCTCGTCTGTGGATTGCCCTGGGGGCCCGGCGAGCCAAACCCCCCCCGTCGTGATGTTGGCACGACGCGAGCATGTTTGGGAGCACACCCGCACCAGCGGCTTCCCGGGCGTCGGGCGGGCTGGTGATGGGGAGTTGTCGTAAGTCGGGGGGCGAAGAGAAGGGCCCCGAAGGCGCCCCCCAGGGCCCCTTTTGTAGCCAGCAGGGCCCTTTAGGGTCCCTTCGGGGCCCCTTTCTTCACACCCCGACAAAGGTCTCGGGGATGGACAGACACCCCTTATAGTAAAACGCGGTTTGGTGAAAACTACCCGAGGCCCAATCCTGGCGGGCGCAAGCCTGGGAAATCACGGCCACGGCGCCCCCTCGAGAACCGAACACGGACGATTCACGAATCGACGTGTCACTGTTGGGGGTTTTCTGTCCACCCCTCGAAGGTCACGCCCCATTGGCCCGTTGCCACCCGCCCGACCTGCGCCAGCGGCTCCCCCAGCGGTGGACAGCACACAGCTCCCACCCCCTGGCTGCGGAGGATTGCAAAAAAACACAGGATTGCAAAAGAACCCAGGATTGCAAAACAACCCAGGATTTCAAAAAAAACCGAGGATTGAAAAAAAAACAGTGTTTCTTTTGTAATCCAGCGGTGGACAGCACACAGCTCCCACCCCCCGGCCGCGTCTTCGCGGCGCACCCGCCTCGCCCGACGAGGCCTCCGAGGCTGGGCGCGCGTGGAGGGGAGCGACACCTGGGTGTAGGGACAGCGCGGGCTGCAGAGAAAAAAACCCTTTATTGGAGGCCTAGAAGTGGGCACCAACACCATCACAGGGGGTTGCCTCCACAGGGGAAATACGATCCTCGATTTCGGTGTTGGTGGCAATAGTTCGGCCACCTTGGAAGCCAGAATATTACCACCATCACCGAGATCGGGATCTTCCTCCCTCGGTGGATGCACACCGCCGATATTGGTGTTGGTGTCAATAGGCCTGCGACTTTATATGGGACCTGAAAGCGACCACAGCCAATGCTTTTCGAGTGTGTTGCAGCCTTCCAGCCCGCAGAAGCAGAGCCGTGGCTGTGGCCATTTTCGTTGAGCTTGGCGCCAGGGAAATGACCACAACCACTGCTTCTTTTTCGGCCGGCGGGACGGCGGCGCAAACGAGAAGCAATGGCTGTGGTCATTTTCCCGTCCCGCACTTTAGGACCCGTAGAGGGGCCCTTTCGGGCCCAGCAGAGGTCTTTCGGGCCCGAAGTGCACCGGTCTCCCCCACCCCATGTATCGCCTCCCCTTCTCGGGGAGACGTGAGACGCGGGTACGGGGACTCGGGTTGGCCCGACGAGGACATCATAAACATGACGAGCCCCCATCTGAAATCTGACGCGAATTCCCGCTCCAAACATCTCACGACAACTGGACCGTCAAAATCCAGGACTCAAACGACGCGAAGATCGGGACACAATCGGATCGGGATAACTCGAAATCTGTGAGAATCGGCGGGTTTGGAGGATGTATTGGGCGCCGCGGCCGCTCCAGAGCGTTCCGGAACGCTCTGAGAGCGCTCCGGAACGCTCTGGACCGATTTATCCCGATCGCGCTCGTCAAAAAACGTCGGTAAACCCGAGCTCCGACTTACTCGATTCTTGCGTCTCCCCAGCCTTTTAGTGCGCGCCCAACGAGGCCGACGCGCAGCCCTCCCGGGCCGCGGCGCTGCCTCCGGCCCCCCAGGCTCAGCGATGCTTTGGACGCCCGAAAGGGGCACGGAGAACAGGAATGCAATACAGTGGGGGCGTTGACCTAAGCAACCCCAAATAAGGAACGAGGCCCCTCTTTTCCATGGGTTAAACTTCGGTTTCCCGTCGAAAACGTAAGGTAAAACCTGAGGCAAGCTGTGAAACACTGAAGGAACACGGAGCCCCTCCCCAACGAAAAGGGTTCATTCTTTAGCGACCCGACTGTACAATACCCCACAACCAATGCAGATGTTGTCCCAGACCAGCAGCAGCCGCTGTTGGGCAGGCGGCCTTCTGTTTAAAGTGGACACATGGCCGCGGCGACACTGGCAGCGAGTCCTGTTCGAAAATGAACGGGAACTGGCGCCGGCCTTTGTACCCGTGCTTCCCGCACCCATTTCGATCGTCCCGAAACTCGGGTCGGGCGAGAGGGGGAATAGCAAAGGGGGGGTTGAGAATCCGCTCACGCAGCTGATTTTACTGGCGCCCCCCGGCGTCGTATGGAGGCGGCTACGTATCGAGGAGCGGGCCCCTCGGTGAGGCCGAAACTAGCTGCGTGCCGCAGACTTCGTACCCCCCCCCTTTCCCCAATCCCCCCCGTTCGTCCGGCCCGAGAAGCGAGGCCGCGGCGCAGCCCTCCCGGGCCGCGGCGCAGCCCCAGGCAGGCCCGGGGCTCAGCGCTGCCGCCCGCGGCGGCCGCCGGGGGGGGCGGCGCCGCGCTGCGGAGCCGCCCTCTGGCGGGGGCAGCGCTGCCGGGGTCCCTCGGCGCCAACGGGAGGCACGCGGCGGGGCCCGCGGAGGGCTCTCGCGCCGACAGCGGCTCTCGACACGGCGAGTGGCGGCGAGCGAAGGGGGGGGAAGGGAGCAGGAGGAGGCACTCCCAGAAATTGTCGAAGCCGTCGCAGGAGGCGCGAGAGAAACATCCCCCAGAAGGCGCGAGGAGCTTCCGAAGAGTCCCGCCGCCTTCGGAGAACGCCCTCTCCTTCTCGCTTCCCCCCCTCGCTCGCCGCCGAACCACGAGCTGCTCCGAGACGACAAACGCCTCCGCCGTGCGGCGGGGCTCGAGGTGTGGAGAGGCCCCGTGATCCTTCGAGCTCGTGCTGGGCTCGCACGGTGGCGTGGGACTTGCCGCAGGCAGCTGAGTAGCATGGTGTATACACAGCAAGAAATACACAGATAGAGAAAAAGAAAGAGAGAGAGAGGGAGAGGAAAAGAGAGAGAGAGAGAGACAAACACAGAGCGAGCTAGGGGGAGAGCGATACATATATATATATATATGTATAGAGAGAGAGAGAGAGAGAGAGAGAGAGAGAGAAAATGAGCGAGAGGGAGAAAAACAACAAGCAACCTCGATGTGGTCTTACACATGTGTAGTCAATCATATCCAGCACTGCGCAGTCACATTGAGGGGGGACTGACTGCGCAGCAACATCAGAGGAACCTGCACAATATGGAATGGCGTCGCACGCATCAAGTCAATCGACTTGATAACTGCAGAAGGTGCTAACAGCTTTGCTGGCCGTGGGAACCCCGTCCCTCAGCGAACAGACCACGAGCACATCGCAACGCTGGGATCTCGACAGGCGCATTTCAGTGGAAACCCCAATCGTCAAGGCCTTGCGAACGGTGCCTTTGATAGACCATCTTGTTCATCGTCCATCGTGGTCATTGTCTACTGGCCCATGACACTTCGTGGACCACCCTCGCGCATCGTCATGTAGCCTCGTCTCTATCAGAGGGGTACAGTGACCGAAAGTGTGCCCGAACATCCACCCGAACGCGACCGAAACTGTCGCCCGGAATTGTCGGGACGTGCCAGAATGTGATTCAAAACAAATACGGCCCTCAATGTCAGTTGTCACTCACGTTCCCCGTCATAGGTTTGGACACCATATCTGTCACTGATTTTTGCTCGGTCACAAGCCTTGTCGGCTGATAGGGGCCGTGTGCCATGAGAATCGGCGACGGACGGCATAGACCATGACCAGCATCGGTGTCGACAAGACCCCGCGACACCTTTAGAGGCCTCCTAGATGTGGTTCGGGTAGATGGGGTCGGAGGATTGCGCGGCATCGCCGACGCCTCGGCGATGCATCGGCGACGTCGGAGATGCATCGGCGCCGTCGGCGCGGAGGAAATGGGCTCCACGTCGAGCCGCAGCGGCGATGCATCAGCAATGCGGGGCGACCCTCCGACCCCATCTGCTCGAAACCCATCTGGGCGGCCCACAGCCTTGGCCGTGAGCATCGTGCTCGCTTTCCCGACACGGCGACGGCGACGGCGACGGCGGCAGCGACGGCGACGGCGGCGACGGCGACGACGACGGCGACGAAGACGGAAGCGGCGGCGCTCGCGGCGGCGGCGACGGAAGCGGCGGCGGCGGCGGCCGCGGCGGCGGCAGTGGCGATGACGACGACGGCGACGACGACGACAGGCGGCGGAGGCCGAGGGCGGTGGCCTGCGGCGGCCAGCGCGGCGGCGGCGCGTGCGCCGCGCCTGCCGCTCGCCGCGGGGGAGCCACCCCCGCGGGCCGGCCGCCGCCGGCCCACGGCGCGCACGTCAGCCTCGCCGGGGGGCCGCCGCGCCCGGGGGGGGGCGCGGCGCCGCCACCGTTGCGGCCGCGGTGTCCGCCGCCGCCGCCGTCCGGCGTCGCCCGTCGCCGTGCGCCGTCGTCCGTCGTCCGTCGTCGCCGTCGTCCGTCGCCGCAGGCGTCGTCTGACCGAAGTCGCTGGGCGGGGGGCGCGCGGACTCGGCACAGACGTGAAGTAGTCAGGTGTCGGCAAGGGGATATCGTCACGCGATGCGAAGCTCCCTCCCCACGCTCCTCCTCCTCCTCCTCCTCCTCCTCCTCCTCCTCCTCCTCCTCCTCCTCCTCATGTTTCTCCTCATCCTCCTCATATTCCTCATCCTCCTGCTCTTCCTCTTCCTCCTCCTCCTCCTCAGATTCCTCCTCAGATTCCTCCTCCTCCTCCTCCTCAGATTCCTCCTCCTCCTTCTTCTCGTCATCATCCTGCTTCTCCTCCTCATAGTTCTCATCCTCATTATTCTCATCACCTTCTCTTATCCAACTCCTTCTCCTCCCCCTCCTCCTCCGCCTCCTCTTCCGCCTCCTCGGACTCTTCGCATCACGCGACGGATCCAAATTGTCGATGGTTGCGCGTTCACCGGGGACGGGACGCATTGACTGGGGTGAGCAACCCCCCGGTGGCCGAAGAGTGGCTCCGTACCCGGCATGGCCACCGCCCGGGACAGCCAGGGGGGAGCATTGCGCAGGGACCGACCGTCCCGGCATTTCTATAGTCCTACCATGAAATGTTCTTAGAATCCAAAAATGTTCTAAGAACAAAAACAATGTTTTTAGAACATAAACCCGATGTGATAAAACAAGACAGACTCCGCCAGAAATGTTCTAACAACACCTTGTGGAGACCACAAAAAGGTTCTTAGAACATTGTTTGGCAGGGCTATATATCAGGCGAGCCAGGACGCTTCGCCACTGCTTGAGAGCAGGAAGAAGGCATTGGCTGACCTGGATACGTGAGCCCCGAGTGTGAGGTAGTTGAGCTCCGGCCCACCCCGAGATGTGAAGCAGGGGGGCCCTTCCAATAGACTGGTATCTGGAGTTCCAGGGAGCCCGATGTGATACCAGCATGAGGCGAGCGATGCTCCTCCTCGGGAGCGAGGCGGGGTCGGGACCTGAGCAGACCCAGGGCCAGCTTCGCAGGCATCGGGCGTTTGCTCACGGGAGGCGTGAAGAAACGCGTTCTTCTCCAGCTCACGTGGGGCCCGCGGCGGTAGTGGGGGTGCCGTTCGGAGGAGGAGGAGGAGGAGGAGGAGGAGGAGGAGGAGGAGGAGGAGGAGGAGGAGGAGGAGGAGGAGGAGGAGGAGGAGGAGGAGGAGGAGGAGGAGGAGGAGAGAGGAGGAAGCTTTGCTGCCCTCCTGCGACCGAGCGCCGAAGGAGCGGCCAGCTGGGGTGCCGCTGCCTGCCGGGGAACGCCCTGCGCGTCCAGACGCCCGCACGCTGCGCGCTCCGCCACGCCCTGCTCCCGGGCCACGGCTCGAGGAGCGAACCCGCTCGGGGTAGGCTTGGCAGGAAGGCCACGGACCCTGGAGCCGGGGCCCATGGCTCGGGAGCGGCCAAGAGGGGGGTGTCCAAGAGGGGGGGCGTTGCAAATCATCAAATCATGACCGGCGGCACGTGCGCGGCCCAGCGGGGGGGGGGCCAGGGCACGCATTGAAACAAGAAGAGGCGCGGCGCCATGAGATCTGAGGGAACATCGTGGCCCCCGCCATGATATCCAACCCCCCCTAGTCATCCCCCCCCTCTTTGCCGCCCCCGACATGGACGTGTGTCACTGGTTTCGGGCCCTGCACTGCCCCCAGGACGCAGGACACGGGCTGCTCCTGGGGAGTGCCCCGTGGTCTCGGGCCCGCTCCCCTCGGGCTTATCGGGCCCGCTCCCCTCGGGCTTAAGGGGCCGTGGAAACGACAGGGCCGTTTTTTAACCGGTTCCGTTTTGCCGTTTTTTTTGCCGGTTCCGACGCCGTTTTTTTACCGGTTCCGTCGCCGTTGTTTGACCGGTTCCGGCCCCGGTTCCAATCCTGGAGCCGTCTTTTTGCCGTTTCTGGTCGCCGCTTTTTTGCCGCTTCCATTTTCGAACGACATTTTTTGGGAAACGGTGAAAAAACGCTCCTGCCGTTTCCGGGGCCCACTAAGCCCTCGGGGCACTTCTCCTGCATGCCGAAGACTGTCTCGCACCGCATCCCCGAGTTGACGGGAAGGTTCGTCCGCGGAACGCCGCATGGTGCCGCCCTCGGAACTGCGGTGAGGTGCGCTTGGCGGCTGGGCCGCCCCGACAGGTGTCTGAGATCCGCTCTCAGCGGGTGCCGGGCGCCCTGTCGGGGGTCTATCCTGGCAGCGTGTCGGCTCCCAGATACAATCGAAAACCCTAATAAGGACGCGCGGTAAGGACGCAAGACCCTTGGAAGCCGAAGTTTGGATTTTTGGGGCGGCGGACGACGAAAACCCCAAGGACGCAAGAGCAAGGAAGAGAGAAGACGCAAGGGTACCCTGAGCAAGGTCGCGCGTCCTTATTAAGGTTTTTAACTGCAGTTTGTCTGAGATCACATAGCACGAAACCAGACCCTGGAGGGCGAGGCTGGGGGACGAACTGCGGCGCGAGCTGTGCCGATCCTCCTCGAAAGTCCTTAGAAAGGGTGTGGGCGACAGGCGACAGCTGTGACGAGCAAATAGGCCGATCCTCCTCCTCCTCCTCCTCCTCCTCCTCCTCCTCCTCCTCCTCCTCCTCCTCCTCCCCCTCCTCCTCCTCCTCCTCCTCCTCCCCCTCCCTCCTCCTCTCCTCCTCCTCCTCCTCCTCCTCCTCCTCATCCTCCTCCTCCTCCTCCTCCTCCTCCCCCTCCTGCTCGCGCTGCCCTAAAACATCCACGCCCGGACGCCCCCAGCATCTGCGGGGGGCGGCCCTCGGGCCCAGAGAGAGGCTGCGAAGGGACCCCAAGAGGCCCCCAGAACCCCGAAGACCACTTGGGCGCCCGAATTATCCGGGGTAACTCGGGTCCGGGGTAACTCGGGTTTGGATTCCCAGAAAAGGAACCCGAATTAGCCCTGACCCGAGTTATCCCTGATGATTCGGGGCTCTGGACGCCCGATTTATCCGGGGTAACTCGGGTCCGGGGTAACTCGGGTTTGGATTCCCGGAAAACGAACCCGAGTTATCCCTGACCCGAGTTACCCCTGATGACTCGGGGTTCTGAACCACCGTCACGTTACGTCAGGGTCCGATCGAACAGCGTTTGGCCGCCATGCGGGGCACGGACTGAAGCTGGACAAAATGTGCGTTCAGGCATCGTTGCAAGAAAGAAGGGAAGAGGAGGAAGAGGAGGAGGAAGCAAAAATGAACAGAGCCCTGGGCTCCTGCCCTCAGTCGTCCCACTCCCAAGACCACCATTCCCGCGAAAAAAACCTTCCCCGTGGGGCTTCCGACGCTCGGACGGCCCAAGAGGCCCCCGATAACGCCAACACGGGCCAAGTGGCGCCCAAGAGCGCCCCCGAACGGACCAAGAGAAACTCGAGACGGCCCGTGAGGTGCCGGAGCAAGAGTGCCCAAGAGGAGCCCAAGAGGGGGAACTCGAACTGAAATGTCGAGCTCTCCGTCCGAACATGATCTCCGACAACCGCCAGATGGCCTTTGGAGGCCCCCTAAATGCCTCCGGAGGACTCCAAGAGGCCCGAAAGAGGCCCCCCCAGCAGGCCCCTAGACACCACAAAACCGCCTCCAGAAGGCTTTTGGAAGATCTCCCAGGAGATACCCAAACGCATCCAACAGGCCTCTGACATACAACTCAGGCGCCATGGTGGGATGGGCCAACGGCCACTAGATCCGCCGCCCCCTGTGCTTGGCACACGGGTCTTGACGCGCTAGACGTACACTATTTCAAGATTGTTTGAAGGGTTTCTAATGGACTCCGGCTCAATCCGCCAGCCTTGCGAAGAGACTCGGAAACATCGCCCAAATGGCCTCCTAGAAGGTCCCAAGGCGACTCCAAGACGGCCAAGATGGCCCCAAGACAGCCCAAGATGACCACCAGATGGCCCAAGAGGCCCCCACGACACCCTAAGATTGCTCCAAGAGGACCTCCAGGAGGCCGAAATCATGGACTGTCCGTAAGTGTTTCAATGATTTGAGCGTTCTTACTTTTTCGAGCTTCTGACGCTCCAACTGACGCTCGAAGTCGGTCCCAGAAGCCCCCAAGGTCGCCCCAAGACGGCTCAATAGGCCCCCGAAAGGCCTGCAAGGCGGCTCCAAATGGCCCCAACAAGCCTCCAAGACGGCCCGAAAGTGGCCCCGTAAACCTCCAAGACGGCACTACACGGCTCAAGGAGGGACCCACGACTGCCCTAATAGGCCCTAAAGAGGCCCCTCAGAGGCCCTCCAGAGTCTCCCAGCCTCCCAGGAATCCCCCAGACCAGAAGCCACAGCGCCATCAAGGGTCCTCAGTTTCCTCCTCCTGCTCCTCTTCCTCGAAGTCCTCCTTCTCCTCCCTTTCGTCTTCCTTCCTCTCCCTCTCATCTCAAAAGTGCCCCCCCCCCACACACAAAGGGCAACACAACTAAACTCGGCCAGGAAAGACCCGGACCAAGCTGAACTCGGACCCAGCCCTGCGGAACTCAGCCAGCTGTAAGCTCTAAACTCGGCCGGCTGAACTCGGCCGGCGCTCTAGCTGCAGCGTGGGCACCGGATGAATATAACTATTCGGCCGATTAATCTACGGGCGAAGAGCGGTATAACAAATGGCACGCGTGCTCGGGCTCTTGCACATATGAGGAAACAAGGAGGAGGAGGAGGAGGAGGAGGAGGAGGAGGTGGAGGAGGAGCAGGAGCAGGAGCAGGAGGAGCGGCAGGTGGGGCCAGGGCGCCCCGAAGATGAATCAGCGGTTGTCGATTGGGACCTGCTCGAATGAGTTTTTTGGCGGCTCAGGCGCGATGGATTTTTCGAGGGTGGGCCAGGTGGGGAGGCTGGGTCCAAGGACAGGGCCAGCAGGTATA